TCCGATATCCTCCTGAAACCATGGATGCGTCCTGCAGTCTCGATTGCGATGACGTTTGTGGAACAGTCGAATGCAGCGATCCTGTGCAGAGGTGGTAACTCTTGGTCGGCAGGTTTTCGGACGGTCTACAGTCGAATTGAACTGTGTGTATCGGTCCCAATTGCGGCAAATGGTGCTAGCGTGCAACAGAAGACTGCGATTCCCCTCTTTGGATACGTCCTATGGCGATGTTCCGATCTGCAGCGCTGAGTCTCGTCATTTTCAGAAATGGGCTTCAGAAATGGGCTTCACACATTGTACCCATGTCGGGAATCTCACCCGGGTCTTCAGCGTGACGAGCGAACGTTTTAACCGCGTGACTACCCGACCGCCCTTCATGTGTTTAGACCTTTTAGATAGAACACACCATGGTGCTACATATATTAAACGTACGTCAGTGTTAGTGGGTCATGTACATAAAAGTGACAAAACCCTTTCCATATTCAGGACATATCACCCAAAAGAAGAGTCCGTTGCACAGCTTTGACCATATTATAAGCATGGGTCTATGAATCACCATCCAATAGTGATGATACCAGTTGTTCGCGAAATGGTGAACGTATACTGCACCACCGGTATTACCCGTAACAAACACATGCAAAGGCAAGTTAACTGTTGACCTGGGATCGTATGGTACAAGTCTAAATATGGAATTGCATCTGAAATCATTTTTGTCACTGATACGTCAAATTCGGAAATGTCCTCAACATGTCTACCATAAGACTTTTTGAAAGCTTTACGAAGGCCTTGAATGCTGTAACCATGACAAAACATCTTTTGTATACGTATGACGCTCTTTGAAATGTTTGTTGAAAGCGCATACTCGATTGTACATGTATCTAAAGAGTTGTCAAATGTTGACACCAAGTTGTGTGAGTGAGCAATATCACGGCGGGGGACACCAGAAATGGGCTTCACACATTCTATCCATGTCGGGAGTAGATCCCGGGTCTTCGGCGTGAGGAGCGAACGCTTTAACCACTAGACTACCCGTCCGCCCCTGACACCAAAGGCTGGAGCTGCTGGACTATTGCTTGACGAGCAGCTGGAGGTTTATACGATCATTTGAAGAGGGACTGTGGTTCGTGGTGTAGTCAGGCGAGGGCCATCTTCCCGAGGCAAGAGAGTTAACTGACTTTAAAATGCCAGTTTCCACCCTTGCCGAACTAGGCTGGAATTACTGGGCTCGATCGTAGCGCCACCAGTGGTTATTACGTGTTATGTCCCTTCTATGCCTCTCCTATGGACCAATCAGGTTCCACCTCTCAGTATCACTTGCATTTGCTATAAACAAAATGGCGGCGCCCAGTCCAAAATGGCGGCTCCTGATCGTTGCCTTTCGTACAATAAAACACTGCAGGGAGAAAAAAACCACTCGGGGCTGCGCCCCATGGCTTTTTCTCCCAGCAGTGTTTTATTGTACGATAAACAACTCTCACTCGTCGTTTAATTCTTAAATACACTGTGTCCCATACCTCAATGTATCTTTTGAAACTATCAACATATGCCATTAATCTAATATTGATATATGTCTATGATACCCTCGATACCTGTTTTGAAATTTACACACAAAACTTCTGTATGTTCTCCAGATGGCCGCTCATGTGATGCAAAGAAGCAGATGAATCATTTGAAAGGGAAGACAAATATAGAATTGCTCAATCATAATATATCGAGGTCGGTTGATATAAGTGCTTCGCGGATTTACACAATATGCATACCGGCCTTTACGTTTATACCGGACCCGTGAAGATCCGGGGTAGAAAAGGTCTTCAGCAATCGATGCTTGCCGTAAAAGGCGACTATGCTTGTCGTAAGAGGCGACAAACGGGATCGGGTGGTCAGGCTCGCTGACTTGGTTGATGCATGTCATCGATCCCAATTGCGTGGATCGAAGCTCATGATGTCAATCACTGGATTGTCTGGTCCAGACTCGATTATTTACAGACCTCCGTCATATAGCTGGAATATTGCTGAGTGCGGCGTTAAACAACGAACAAACAAACAAACAAAACGTTTATACCCCATGAACCCATTTTTTATATTTAAGTAAATTCTTAGTTATGTTACTACAGGATTTTCCCTCCGTGACGTCATGCGAGAACGTCGCGACTTCTCTACACTGCCGTTATATTCCCAGCAGCTTAAATTCTTGCCCAATTTACCAATTTACCAAAGTTATTTAAGTTATGAAGTTAAAAACACTAAAAGGCCATGTGTATGTTAGAGTTAGGAAGACAATTGTCACAGATACCGTTCGTTCGCTATTCTTGAAACAATTGAATGGTAAATATTTTCATTCTAAACATTGTGTTTTTGTCTCCACATTTGCGTTATTAGTTGTTTATCGCCGCACTAAAAAAAATTCCAAATTTTTGACGACATCCTGTAAATAATCCGGTTTGTTCCAGAACCTCCAGTGATTGATATAATGAGCAACGATCCGCGCCGTCGCGTACAATCATACGCAATGCTGCAAGGAACAAAACTGAAAACCCGATTCACACAACTTTTCTCTTACCAAAAGCCAAGGTTGCTTTGGTACATCATCGATTTGTCGAATCCTTTTATTTGTAGAAACTATCGATAGTCTAGCAAGGTATCGATGTCTATTATTGATGGTATTATTTAGGTGCCATCAATAAATTGCCATCGCTGTACTTGCCACATGAACTTTTGAACCGAGTTGATATTTCGATAAATGGTTTTACCGTTATATACTGGGATGTTGTCGCGTGTCCAAATTCTGTAGAAGTATGATATTTCAAACTGCATTTAAATATTAATATAAAGATCTTTTCTGATATAAGATATCCTGTAAAACATGACATAACTATATCCTAGACTATACTCTTACATGAATATATAAAACATTGAACACACATGCCAATAGCAATTGAAATAAGTGTTATTCGATATATGCTTGGCTTAATCTTGCGATAGGTATTCAGTAAACAGGCCACTCTCACACATCTGGTCGTTAGCGGTTGTTCACGGTCAATGACAAGTGTATGTAAATAAACGTATGCGTCTTTTTCTGTGACCTGACTTGTCAAGCATTTAGGCGGTCAATGAAAAGGGCATGCCATGTCAATGGACAGCTTGCGTAGACCCTTGTATATATATATATATATATATATATATATATATATATATATATATATATATATATATATATATATATATATCTCATTCTCCCTCTCTCTCTCTCATTCTCCCTCTCTCTCTCTCTTGCTCCATCTCTCGCTCTTTTTTTCTCTCTTTCTTTTTCTCGTAATCTTTCTTTCTCTCTCTTATTCATTTTCTTTCTCTTTCGATTTCTCTTTCTTCCCCCTTTTCTCACTCACCCTCATTCTCTTTCGTTCTCTCTCTCTTGCTCCCTCTCTCTCTTGCTCTTTTTCTCTCTCTTTCTTTTTCTCTTTCGATTTCTCTTTCTTCCCCCCCCCCTCTCTCTCTCCCTCTCTCACTCCCTCCACAGCGTTATATGCAACTTACGAGTTTATTTTATAATGACAGTTAAATGAATGTTTATTGGGTATTCGAACCCACAATCATCGGTTTCCGGCGTGCCCAAGGGACGCAACTCTGCACAGCGAATCGCGGCCCCCGTTTTGTTTGTAAGACTACAGAGTAGTGAAATACAAATTTCAGGTAATTTTGTTGAAATATAGCTTTAGAGGCCAAACATATACAGAGAAGCCTTATTCCAGACCTTGTATATCTGGAAACCGCTTCTAAAGAACGACCGTGTTGGGAATGCACTGCGACAATGCATTTTCATCTAACGTCACTTTGCTTTGGACCCCTTCTCGAACAATGAAACAATTAGCATTAACTAGCCAATCAGCATTAAGCAATACGTATAATACTCAGTGAGAATATATGAACACAAATTCACCCATGTCCGTGTCCCTGTGGGTAATATTACTAGATAACTAGCGGACAATCTATTGTTCGCCTAACTATTCAGTTCACGACACACACCTCTCTCAAACATACTTTGTACAGCGTACACTGCATTTACAGGAAAGATTTGTTAACATTTCCAACGGGCGCGCCGGTGAAACAGTCATCTAATTGGCTGTGCAGAGTTGCGTACTTTGGGCACGCTAGAAACTTATCTGGGTTCAAAATTGCAGTTCGTCCCGATTATGTTTCTAGGTTGTCAGCACCATACCCGTGCTCGTGGGTTTCACCGAAGTGGTAAACATCTGAGACCTGGATCACTTCGGGCTTTCCTCCCACATTAACCTGACATGTCGTGATATGACTGGAATACTATGAATAGTACCAACTTATCCTCAGGGACATTAGAAGCTAACATTGGTATATATAATTTTTCAGCGTATATCATATTTATTTGTCAGTATATATCAATTATTTGTTCTAAAATTGAAAACAATATATTTACTATTTTCTTCGAAAATGCGTAACTTGAGTGTTAACATCGTTTTATAAAAAGATAAATGCACCTCTATACACATGCGATATTTCATAACTTTATATAATTGTTAATCGTGTGAAAACATCGGCAACACACATTTTATTAAACTAGTAACTTATCCCAATGACAGTTAACATCGTAACAATTTAGACCCGCTTTCTACTCTTACGGCATGAATAGTGGGGCGGTTAAGGCTGGATTTTTAGTCAAAATTGTGCACTTTGGGTTAAAACCACCAAATTTGGCACACTTATACATTGAACCATTCCGAACATTTCTGGATATTGATCCACCTCCGCAGCGCCACCTGGTGGTAGAAATACAAAGTGCACAATTAACCTTAACCGCCCCACTAGTAGCTTCAAACAGTCTATCGTCGTGTGTGTTTTCGTCGCTGTTTTGCGTTTTGCGCCAAATAATGTCTGTTTCAAAGGTGATCAAGACAGGTTGTTCTTCTGCATTGATGTTTTGGATTTACATAAATCAACAACATTAATCAACATAACAACGAAAGACGTTGTGTTTTTTCCGTTTATTGCAGATATATCATTATTCGGATTGTTGTTTTGTTCAACACCGGTCCCCCATGTACATGCTCTCAGTATTAGTTGATACATACAGTGAACCCTCGATATCTCGAACTCCATTGTCAAGATGCATCGGCACATTAAGTCAATATCAGCACTCCGTATGTCTCGATGTACGGATAACGACATTTGTTCGACTGTCTACTTCGAATTAACGTGGTTTCAGTGTATCTTCGTTCAACAAGCTGATATTGTAACGGTAGTGTCATCTAGTAGTACGTCATAACATCACCGAACGCATGACCTGAAAACATAAATACATATATATATATACTTTAAAATGTGTGTGTATGCACGCTTCACAGGCTATATTCGAGACCACATCAAGGTATTCTAAATGACAAAGGTATGTAAAAATTACATTGTGAGATAGTAATTTAATTTATTAACCTGAGATATTATGCCTGTCTTTACATGAAATCTATAAAAGCTTTCGGATTTGAAGTAAACACATACCAATCTTAAGACTATATGATAAATCGTCCGAACTAAAACTACAGCCGAAGATCCGGGGTAGAATAGGTCTTCAGCAACCCATGCTTGCTGTGAAAGGCGACTATGCTTGTCGTAAGAGGCGACAAACGGGATCGGGTGATCAGGCTCACTGACTTGGTTGATGCATGTCATCGTACCCCAAATGCGTTGATCGATGCTCATGATATCAATCACTAGATTGTCTGGTCCAGATTCGATTATTTTAAGACCGCCGTCATATAGCTGGAATATTGCTGAGTGCGGCGTTAAACAAGAAAACAAACAAAACGTTTATACCCATGAACCCATTTTTTTATATTTAAGTCAATTCTTAGTTATGTTACTACAGGATTTTCCCTCCGTGACGTTATGCGAGAACGTCGCGACTTCTCTAGACTGCCGTTATATTCCAAGCAGCTTAAATTCTTGCCCAATTTACCAATTTAGCAATGTTATTTAAGTTATGAAGTTTAAAACACTAAAAGGCCATGTGTGTGTTTTCGTTAGGAAGAAAATTATCACAGACATTCTTTCGTTCGCTATTCTTGAAAACAAGAACAAAAAACCCACACAAAAAAATTAACTAAAACTACATTCAAACGTCTCTGTCTCGAACTCATATTGAATTGAATTGTAAATGTTACAAACCGCATTAGTAAAAATGTGAATGTTCTGTTTCACTTGTTTTCTGTACACGTAAAGTAGGCCAACGAATCATTTCAAATTCACTTTATCTTGGTGTTGGGTAATCTTGTACCACTACAGTACTATCTCGACATGTTTTCACTGATTGTAAACGAAAATCCAGATATATGAACTGTATGCTTAATGAGTTACCCCAACCCCTACAACGAGTGTCACTGATGAGAGAGAAAGTAAATAACTTTCCTACATTCACGCTGACGTTTTTGAAAGTTGCTTTAATTAACTGAACTCTACACTTGCAGGAACAATGTATTGTGATACCCGATAGTGGGGTCATTTGAGAAAGTGTCTGATGCTTCTTTTCTATGATTTGCTTTACGGAATAAATACCTGAATAAATTAAAATAATAAATACAACATGGAGAACTTGTAATATTTTACCCATTGGTTCATATTAGATATTACTAAAAGGATCAATAAGCAGAAAATAAAAAATAACTTTATTTCACCTTTGTGAAATGTTAAGTTGGGGAATTGGAGAACCAAGTGAAACATAAACGACTAACGGCTAAGAATTTCGGAACCAGCAATTTTTATAGCACTGTCGTCTAGCTTTTGAGCTTTTCAATCTGAAAAAAACGATTTCCGGATTACCTTTTTTCACAATTCCAAAGCCGTGGAGCAGGTTCCCCCTCGTCAAAGCGCCAAACGGAACTCCAAAACCTCCATATATGGCTCCATGGTCCAGGATAGAGAGTTGACCATAATGTCCAGAAAGGAGGCCATAGGCATGTCCATAGTCTCCATACATCATGGAGCCTTTTCCAGCGTACAGACCCAGAGGCTTGTACCCGTATGGTCCAAGATTGTTCCCATAGGCACCGATACCTCCGAGTTTCGGGTACAAGACTTTCCCCCCTGCATGCTTCCACAAGCCATGAACGCCGTAATACCCATTACCGTAGAGATTGTTATAGAGGCATACGCCACTGGAGCCGTATTTGCCCATAAATAGACCCCCGTGCCCGTAGGTTCCCAAGTCGTAATAAAGGGGTAGTCCCGACGCCTTCACCTTCTTGGCATAGCCGTATCCGTAGCCAGTTGGTACAGCCGTTACAGTTGCAGACCCCAGGACTAGGGTAAGAAGAATGTAAATCCGCATCTTCCCCGGATCTGTGACAAAGAGGAGTAAATTCCATGACGTTAAATTCATATCCAAATATCAGTACAGTCACCATCGGATATAACCAATACTGATGTGACGAACCATCGGTTACACCGAACTCATTACATGGATATTTGTATAACTAACATAACGAATATATGTGTCGATATATAACGTTCAATCATTATGTACCTGGAATATTGTTCAGTTAGACCTTTTCTGTAAGATCCTGTCATCCCCAATGTTAACCTGCTCAGCAAGGAGAGTTGATTTCCGTTATAATATTCGCCATGATAAAAATAATGAAATAAATTAAAAAAATAAGAATCCATACCTACTTGACACCTATGGCGAAAAGACTCATCGTCATATCTTTTTTCGACGCATGCGCACAATTCAAACGTTCCCGGCAATCACGACCTTAACAGCTCGCGGATATATTAAACCAGTCACGTGACTGATTCAGCCTTGTGGGGATGGATCTTGTCAACTGTGATTGATGGATCCTACGAGCTGGGCTGTTTTACGTTCATTGCGATGTCTGAATGAAACTATATTTAAAGTCACACTGTGACAGTGTACCTAGATATTATTTACTCTTTCATTTGGATAAAAGCGTAAAGGTTAACATAACCAGTTTCCTTGTTCATGCTATCAACCACTGATTTTCTTACCAGAATTGTTTTTTTATAAGGAGCTGTGGTAAAGTTGATCTAAATGAAACTATATTTAAAGCCACAATGTGACAGTGTACCTAGAGATGATTTACTCTTTCAATTGGATAAAAGCGTAAAGGTTAACATAACCAGTTTCCTTGTTCATGCTATCAGCCACTGATTTTCTTACCAGAATTGTTTTTTTATAAGGAACTGTGGTAAAGTAGATCTAAATGAAACTTTAATTAAAGCCACACTGTGACAGTGTACCTAGAGATTATTTCCTCTTTCAATTGGATAAAAGCGTAAAGGTTAACATAACCAGTTTCCTTGTTCATGCTATCAGCCACTGATTTTCTTACCAGAATTGTTTTATTATAAGGAACTGTGATAAAGTTTATCTAAATGAAACTATATTAAAAGCCACACTGTGACAGTGTACCTAGAGATTATTTCCTCTTTCAATTGGATAAAAGCGTAAAGGTTAACATAACCAGTTTCCTTGTTCATGCTATCAGCCACTGATTTTCTTACCAGAATTGTTTTTTATAAGGAACTGTGGTAAAGTAGATCTAAATGAAGCTATATTTAAAGCCACACTGTGACAGTGTACCTAGAGATTATTTACTCATTCATTTGGATAAAAGCGTAAAGGTTAACATAACCAGTTTCCTTGTTCATGCTATCAGCCACTGATTTTCTCACCAGAATTGTTTTTTTATAAGGAACTGTGGTAAAGTTTATCTTAATGAAACTATATTAAAAACCACACTGTGACAGTGTACCTAGAGATTATTTCCTCTTTCAATTGGATAAAAGCGTAAAGGTTAACATAACCAGTTTCCTTGTTCATGCTATCAGCCACTGACTTTCTTACCAGAGTTGTTTTTTTACAAGGAGCTGTGGTAAAGCTAAAATATATTCTGACTATGATCTTTTAGATGTTCTTTGTTAGAGCTGGTACGGACACTTAACAGCGAATTGTGGATGTAATAAAACATATCATATTCCTGATTTGAAGTCAGTGCACTGGCTCCGACTTTAGATCCTGTGTAAAGCCTATCGATGCTACTATAGATATATTTGATCTCTGTACAGAAGTACCAGCCTGTTCGATGCCTCAGATCTACTAATAAGCTACAAATATTTGCTGCACCTCTCAAATAAAAGTATGTTGGTTCCCGATCCGTTTTATTTTCTGCACCAAAGTGATGAAACTATTTACCGTAGGATATCAGGATTTGGTCTTCCCTCCAAACCTTTAAATCAAACTTGAAAGCCCATCTCTTCAGAAAAGGGACCTGTACAACTGCCCTGTAGTTATGAACATATACGACGAGTGGAGTGATGTTAGCGCGTAACAAGTGGACAATTTCTATTATAATTATTATTATCATTAATGTAAGAACGTTTTGTGAGCTGCATTCATTTGGAAATTCTGCTCGTGTCTTCCTGACTGTCATTTTATCGTGGATACTGTTGTTTTAAAATTGCAACCAAATTTTAATCTTATGATCAGATATGATGCTGTATGTTAAACAGACATGTTGCGCTACCACGTCACTGTCTCAACACTGTAAAACGCGATGACATCCCTGTACTTGCCAGTGGGTCAATAGAAAATTGATTGTTATTTGCCGCATATGTTCCCAATGTGCCTGCCATTAAATCTGTTTGTGAGGTTGTAACACGATATATGACTAATTACTGAAACGCCACAGATTGTCCGTGGATTTCATTAATTAAAGCAATTTGCAAGTAATATCATCATAAACATTAATAAAGGTGAATATGTAGTGGGTGTCACTATGAACCTGCACATACATCACTTACAGTGCATATGAGTGTACAAAAACGAATCAATATATTACACAGCATTGTGTATTCTAAAGAAACAGATTTTATGATGGTTTATACTTAAACGTGATTTCATGCGACAGTGACATCAAAAGTCATCTAGAAACGTTAAACATCACACATGCGACTGATTATCTTTTGAAGGCACATCACATCACATCATACCATTAGGTTTCATTAAGACCAGTGCCAGTTGTGTGTGAAGGCACTATGTTGGTCATCCATCCAGTAATGTGTGAACACATCACATCATACGATTGGGTTTCATTAAGATCAGTGCCAGTTGTGTGTGAAGGCACTATGTTGGTCATCCATCCAGTAATGTATGTACACATCACATCATACGATTTGGTTTCATTAAGATCAGTGCCAGTTGTGTGTGAAGGCACTATGTTGGTCATCCATCCAGTAATGTATGTACACATCACATCACACGATTGGGTTTCATTAAGACCAGTGCCAGTTGTGTGTGAAGGCACTATGTTGGTCATCCATCCAGTAATGTGTGAACACATCACATCACACCATTGGGTTTCATTAAGACCAGTGCCAGTTGTGTGTGAAGGCACTATGTTGGTCTTCCATCCAGTAATGTGTGTACACATCACATTATACGATTGGGTTTCATTAAAACCAGTGCCAGTTGTGTGTGAAGGCACTATGTTGGTCATCCATCCAGTAATGTGTGAACACATCACATCATACGATTGGGTTTCATTAAAACCATTGTTAGTTGTGTGTGAAGGGATTGTTGTTCCTCTAGCCAGTAATGTATGTACACATCACATCATACGATTGGGTTTCATTCAGACCAGTGACAGTTGTGTGTGAAGGCACTATGTTGGTCATCCATCCAGTAATGTGTGAACACATCACATCATACCATTGGGTTTCATTAAGACCAGTGCCAGTTGTGTGTGAAGGCACTATGTTGGTCATCCATCCAGTAATGTGTGAACACATCACATCACACCATTGGGTTTCATTAAGACCAGTGCCAGTTGTGTGTGAGGGCACTATGTTGGTCATCCATCCAGTAATGTGTGTACATATCACATCATACGATTGGGTTTCATTAAAACCAGTGCCAGTTGTGTTTGAAGGGATTGTTGTTCCTCTAGCCAGTAATGTGTGTACACATCACATCATAACATTGGGTTTCATTACGATCAGTGTCAGTTGAATGTGTGAAGGCACTATGTTGGTCATCCATCCAGTAATGTGTGAACACATCACATCATACGATTGGGTTTCATTAAAACCATTGTTAGTTGTGTGTGCAGGGATTGTTGTTCCTCTAGCCAGTAATGTGTGTACACATCACATCATAACATTGGGTTTCATTACGATCAGTGTCAGTTGAATGTGTGAAGGCACTATGTTGGTCATCCATCCAGTAATGTGTGAACACATCACATCATACGATTGGGTTTCATTAAAACAATTGTTAGTTGTGTGTGAAGGGATTGTTGTTCCTCTAGCCAGTAATGTGTGTACACATCACATCATACGATTGGGTTTCATTAAGACCAGTGCCAGTTGTGTGTGAAGGCACTATGTTGGTCATCCATCCAGTAATGTATGTACACATCACATCACACCATTGGGTTTCATTAAAACCAGTGCCAGTTGTGTGTGAAGGCAATATGTTGGTCATCCATCCAGTAATGTATGTACATATCACATCATGCCATTGGGTTTCATTAAAACCAGTGCCAGTTGTGTGTGAAGGCATTGTTGTTCCTCTAGCCAGTAATGTGTGTACACATCACATCATACGATTGGGTTTCATTAAGACCAGTGACAGTTGTGTGTGAAGGCACTATGTTGGTCATCCATCCAGTAATGTGTGAACACATCACATCATACGATTGGGTTTCATTAAGACCAGTGACAGTTGTGTGTGAAGGCACTATGTTGGTCATCCATCCAGTAATGTGTGAACACATCACATTATACGATTGGGTTTCATTAAAACCAGTGCCAGTTGTGTGTGAAGGTACTATGTTGGTCATCCATCCAGTAATGTGTGAACACATCACAACATACGATTGGGTTTCATTAAAACCAGTGCCAGTTGTGTGTGAAGGCACTATGTTGGTCATCCATCCAGTAATGTATGTACACATCACATCACACCATTGGGTTTCATTAAGACCAGTGCCAGTTGTGTGTGAGGGCACTATGTTGGTCATCCATCCAGTAATGTGTGAACACATCACATCATACCATTGGGTTTCATTAAGACCAGTGCCAGTTGTGTGTGAAGGCACTATGTTGGTCATCCATCCAGTAATGTGTGAACACATCACATCATACCATTGGGTTTCATTAAGACCAGTGCCAGTTGTGTGTGAAGGCACTATGTTGGTCTTCCATCCAGTAATGTATCTACACATCACATCATACCATTGGGTTTCATTAAGACCAGTGCCAGTTGTGTGTGAAGGCACTATGTTGGTCATCCATCCAGTAATGTGTGTACACATCACATCATACCATTGGGTTTCATTAAAACCAGTGCCAGTTGTGTGTGAAGGCATTGTTGTTCCTCTAGCCAGAAATGTGTGTACACATCACATCATACGATTGGGTTTCATTAAGACCAGTGACAGTTGTGTGTGAAGGCGCTATGTTGGTCATCCATCCAGTAATGTGTGAACACATCACATCATACGATTGGGTTTCATTAAGACCAGTGCCAGTTGTGTGTGAGGGCACTATGTTGGTCATCCATCCAGTAATGTGTGAACACATCACATTATACGATTGGGTTTCATTAAAACCAGTGCCAGTTGTGTGTGAAGGCACTATGTTGTT